TCGGTGCCGTCGCCGTCCCCGCTGCCGCGGCCTCCCCGAGGGGTCCGGGGGCGCGGAGGGATGTCCCACCGCGGAGCAGAGCCCCCTCCCCGCCGGTGCTCGGACGCGGGTGGGAAGCGCCGGAGTTGGTGACCCCGTGGGGATGCGGAGATGGGGGGTCCGGGCCCCCGTCCAGTCCTTCGGCCGCACCGGAGACCCGGGGGGGGTCACAGCGCCCGGTGCCCCCAAGACCTGGTCCTTGTTATTAGGGCGAGCGCTCCGGGTGGGCTTCATCCGCAGCCAGGATGGGGTTTAGAGTAGAACAGAGCGCTTTTCTCATCCGCGGGACATTTGGCCGAGCTCCGGCCAAGAGGCACGTGTCGCTCCTGCACGGACAGGGAAATAAGCAGCATCTTGATGGAATGGGCTTTTGTTGGTGGGTCTGTTTTGCGCTGCTGCCAGTCAGCGCTGCAGGGGAATGCGCTCAAGTCTTGGTTTCTCTTTCTTGGTCTGTGGAACTGCTTGGAGGTGGCGATGGCCTACAATGAGGTCTCAGCTGAGGGGGAATTAAATCGTAGTTTTTCCTCAAATGATGTAACGGGGTAGGCAGTGGGCGCAAAGTGCTCGGTGCGGTGTTTGTTCTGTAGGTGCGCAGTACGTGGGACGGCACAGAAGGAGCTGAGTGAGCTCAGCCCCGAACGAGGAGCTTTAGGGACCCCGCGGGGCAGGTGATGTTGCAGGCGGTGCGGAGCCGCTCCTCGGAGCGCTCTGGGACAGGTACGAGCTTTGGGGAGCACAGGGCTCGCGGTGAGGCGCCTGCTGGGGTTTTCACGGCACGTCAGCCTGGGGGAGGTGGTATGGAGAGCATGGCAGCCAAGGAAGGTAAAGGTTGGCCGTGGTGGCTCGGGCTGGCGGCATCCCCTGTCCCCAACGGGGATTCAGAGGGGACAGGGAGAGGAGAAGCGGGGCTCGGTGGTGCTCCAAGCCTGCCCCAGCTGCGTGCTCAGGGGTGAGCCTGCCTGGGGCCTCCTGCACGCCCTGGCTGCTCCCTGGCGTCTGGCTGCATCCTGCACCACTCCGCCTGGAGCCAAACGTAGGCTGCAGGAGCCACCAGCCCGGCCCCGGCACGTGCGGAACCCCGAGAGAGGTGTGTGGGCAGTGAGAGCATCCCCAGTGTGTCCGTATGGGCTCTGCCTGCGTACAGCACCCCGGGAAAGAGGAGGCTGGCTCCTGCGCGGCCCCGAGGTTCCCCGTGTGAAACGGTACGCTGGCACTGCTAAGCCTAAATGCCCTCTGCCTTACTGGGAGAAGGCATTCCATCTGTCTGTCTGTCTGTCTGACGCAGCTTTCCACTTCCCTGTGCCGCCGTCATGTCTCGGAGCCCCTCTGCGGATGACAAGACCTTTCTCCTGGAGTACCGATGCCACCCGCTGCGGCCAGAGCCCCCCAGCCCGACCTCCCCCCGCAGGAAGCTCAGCTCCACCACGGCCCCTGATGCCACCTCGCTCTCGGCATTGGGCTCTCCCACCTCGGCCGAGCCGCGCCGCATCGTCCTCAGCACGGACAGCCCGGCCGCGCTGAAGGTGGGAACCCAGCAGCTCATCCCCAAAAGCTTGGCTGTCTCCACCAAGACCAAGAACAACCCCTCCCGGCACCAGAGCTTCGGGGCGGCCGGACCGATCCAGGAGCCCCTCAGCCCCAATGGGAAGCGGGTGTCCGTCCCCCGCCTCTCCCTGGCGGCGGAGGGGGAGGGTGGT